TTTTTTTTTTTTTTTTTTCAAACTTTTTTAGATTAAATTGTTTTTACCATAAGAGTTCATGTTTTATCAAAAAAGAGAACTAATGTTTTTTCATTTAGAGTATACCATGTGTGGTTATTAAAAAACTATTATCTTATACCCTTAAAAAACTAGTAATCTGAGTGATGCACATTTGACACATTATTTCCAAATTATTAAAAGATTGCTACGTTTCTACATTTCCATTAGTCACTCAAACGAAATATCATATTTTTACATTTTAAATGCTCCAATACAACAAATATTTTTAATTTTTAGCCGCCTCAACGATGTATGAACAAGCCGTCCGTCTTGGTCAAGAACCTCCAGTATTATCATTTTTATTAAGACAAGCGCGTTGTTATCTTGCTGCTATGAACGCTTTGCAATTGGTAGATAATGATTATAGATGGATAGTTCGACCATTTTTTAAAAGAAATTGTGAAGACAAGGATTTTTGTTGGACTAATAAAAAAATTTTAGATTCTAATGACTTTCTCGGTCCGCGTCAAGTATGGGTTCGCCTCAGGTGCCATCATGATCTTATTGTGTAATCGCTGGACTCGCCCGCAGTATTCTATAATTAATTCGTTATTCCATTGTGTGACAGTTTTAAGCTCCGCTGCAAGTGTCTCTATTCCTCCCATTTTATTGATAGAGCCAACAGAAATTCGTCAATTGAATTAAATAACGATAATCGCGTGCAGAATTGATCGTCCGCTATGCCTCGCAATTTATGTCCCAAAAGTCCTATGAAATATTTTTAATACTGGGCAGTTATTGTTCCCTTCATCATCCTAACCATTTGCTCAAATAAGGGAAACTGCACGGGGTCTCCATTATACAGTGGTATACCATTTACTGCGTTGTTTAGGTAGCCTAATATATTAAGATTCGAGCCTAAGGCTAACGGTACCCCTGTTTGTTGCCTATTACTAGGAAAAAATTGCATGGTTTGATGCTGAGGGTTATCGCGTATGTTACTTTGTGTCCTTTGAAAAGATTCTGCCTGATTATTTATCGGCAGCTCGGTTGGTCGGTCACATGCAGGGAAAAGGTATTCTGTATTTGTATACACGTCATTATCATTTTCTTCGTATCCAAACCTCAGCCTATCTGTCCTATTGTTTGATGTATAGTAGTTATAATTTTTGTCATTTGAATGCAGAGGTGGCCAATTGCAAAATGGTATAAAAGGTTGTTCACTGTTTGTATTTTCTTGTTCTCGCCGTTTGGTATACTTTTCCTGCCAACTCGTTTTGCCTAGCCCTTCCACGCCTAATTGATCACGTTTCCTGTCTACCCCTATGTTCTCCTTAATCGCATTCTCTTTTAATTCTGATTTTTCTGGTGCAATTTCCAACATCTCTATTTCTGCTGTTTCATTCGTTGGCTCTGCTAATTTTGTATTAGGATTTTTCTTAAATGAAATTTTTGGTCTTATATTTTTAAATATCTTTAACATAAGAACTTGATTTTTCTTATCCATCTTCTCATAGAGTGCATACGATTCGGGGTCGTGTTCAAGCATAACCGTTATTGTATCTGAATCTTCCTGTGTCATGGAAAAAGTTTCGTTTAAACCATCCCTACCGTTATCAATCTCTTCCCCGTGGTCGGACATCATTATTTCTTTCCCTTTTTTTTTCTTAAATTAGAGTGATGTGAGCTTGATTATATTAATTGATTTACTCCGCGCACGAAGAAATAATAGAGAAAAAAGGATTCCTATTTTATTTCCGATTCTGTATTTCTATTTTACTGGCCTCTAAAACGAGCGGAACTAGCCGTATTCGGGTTAAGTATTATTTTTTGTTCGTCGTTTCCTTAGCTAAACAACCCCGAGGGACAATAAGTATATATATTTGGGAGGATAAAAAGAATTATTACTTACTTTGACAGAAGGCACAAGACGATGAGCGCCAATATACTCCAAGTCATCCTCTTTACGATGGTTCCTTTTGAAACTGGATGTTGACTCTTGTTCTTTCTTACTCGATAGCAGCTGTAGGTGACTGACTTGAATTTTCTGCGCCTGTTGTTGCACTGCACTATGTGTGGTTCCCGATTGTTGCCCGAAAATTCCGAAATATCACGTGTAAAAAAAAATTTTTTATTTCGCGACAAAACCTACCCCACACTTAACACCAAAACTGTTACGTAGGATTCTAAAGGTTCGGGGTGCTTAATAACAACGCGGCAATTAAACTCAATCAATCACTTTATTGCTATATTCCTTGGGGGAAGGCGCTTTGCGGTCCCGGGTGACTTATTGCGACTATGCTCCTTCTAGTTCCGACGTTCAAGGGCCCTGTGGCCACTGCTGCGAGCCTTTTTATGCTCTCTCTTTCCCCACTTTTGCTCCTACCTAATACTAATAGCTGAAGCCCACCCCACGTAGTATGTTCTATACTGTACGTGACAAAAGATAAAAACCTAACTTTTTTGAAGGTAAAAGTAAAAGGGTTGCTAAGTTGGCTGAGCTATTCATATAATTTATATGCGAATTTGGAATTTCATAATTTACTGTTTTAAGGCATATTTTTATTTTAAGCAGCTTATATAATATAATAAAAAAACTTTTTAAATAATAAATGCATTGAATATCGTGACTTATGAAGAATAACATGTTTAAAATAATGAAAAATGTAAAGAGAACATTTAAGAATAGTTTGGAGGATCAGAGAAAATTGAGCATGCTAGAGAGAAGTTAACAGTTTTAGAGAGAAATTGGGAGTAAAGAAATAGTACAGAGACAACTGAGCCTGCGGCGAAAGAGACAAGCTACAGTTTCTGCTTCCCCCACCATCAAACTTTATTTTCTCGAGCGCTCGCTCTACAACCGCTAACTCATCTTGCTCTTGCTCTCCTTACGACTTCTTTTTGCTACTCTTGATTTTCTCATTTATTCTCCATAGTTCTCCAAACAACTCTTTCGTTTCTATATCTCACTTTTTTCACTCTATGATTTTCTTACTTAGCTGTGAGAACTAAAGAGCTTAAGAGCACACGTATAAAACTTGCCTTACCTTTCACTCTAAAATAAAGTTAGCTTTTTTATGGTGTTTGTTAATTACTGCCAAAACTGTTTTTTATTGTTAAAACAGATTAAGTTAAATTTTTGTTCATGTTTCGTAATTTTTTAACCATATATCTTTTTATAAATTTCTTTATGCTTTATTTTTACGACTTTTTATGGTATATGATTGCGATGGACACTTAGATTTATTAAATTGACATTACAAGTTTTTACTACATTTACGATTTTCGTACAGTAAAAGAATAGTTTTAGTGATTCATTATACATTTTTAAAGGATATTATTTATTTGGATGTCTAAAGCTTTATTAAAAAAAATTCTGCTGCCTCGGACTTACCATTAGTTTGACTTTAAACTCATATCTCACGTGTTGTTGTGGTTTAGAGCTACTGATATTTAGGACTTGCTTAAAAATTTATGGTACATCTTAATAAAAGAAATTGTTTCAAGTTTTATATGTTATCCTTGTAGAAATTGCTTTATTTTATGATAACTATTGAAGTATTTTAAGTCCACTATCATTCCTTTTCAAAATATTGCTAATTCAACATTAGTGGTATTGAATCAACGCTGATACTTATGTATAAGTTTTCTTAAACGTTTTTTTTTTTTTTTTTTTACTTTTTTTGTTTTACTTGTTTTTACCATAAGACACACAAACTGTCGCATTAATCGAGGCATTGTTTTTTCATTTAGAGTATACCATGTGTGGTTATTAAAAAACTATTATCTTATACCCTTAAAAAACTAGTAATCTGAGTGATGCACATTTGACACATTATTTCCAAATTATTAAAAGATTGCTACGTTTCTACATTTCCATTAGTCACTCAAACGAAATATCATATTTTTACATTTTAAATGCTCCAATACAACAAATATTTTTAATTTTTAGCCGCCTCAACGATGTATGAACAAGCCGTCCGTCTTGGTCAAGAACCTCCAGTATTATCATTTTTATTAAGACAAGCGCGTTGTTATCTTGCTGCTATGAACGCTTTGCAATTGGTAGATAATGATTATAGATGGATAGTTCGACCATTTTTTAAAAGAAATTGTGAAGACAAGGATTTTTGTTGGACTAATAAAAAAATTTTAGATTCTAATGAAATTCTACGATACAAAATAGTTAACCATTTAGAAATTTTAGAAGTTAACGACATAAAAAAAGAATATTTATTATGTGAAGCTCAACTTAAAATCGTCCAACTAAATTCAGATATATGTACTTCAGCTCAACCAAGTAAAACAATTTTCTTTTGTGACAAGTGATTAATGTCTAAGACATGAAATTTTCAATGTTTTTCAGATCCATCAGAGATAATAACTGTTTTATCTAGAGTTGGCCTATTTTCGAACGCTTTGGACATCTGCGAATCATTTGATTTAGACAAAACTTTTGTTTTAGAAACCTTAGCTGCTGAGTGTGCAAGATCATATCGTTATAATAATTTGAAATCATGGGACTGGCTTTATCTAAATGACATTTCTGGTTAGTATTTGATTTCAACATCTCTAACAAATTTTATTTTACATAAAAAATACATAGGTCAGAAGACTATGATACCTTTCAAGCTAACCTAATTACTCTTTATTCATTAAAAGTTTTAAAGTGTCTGAAACTTTAAAGATAAGGTTGTACTAGGCTTGAAGGAAAAATTTTACTCTTTCAGCAGTAATGATAGATTACAAGACTTTGTTTTGTATTTTTACTCTTAGGAGATGATCTTTTTCTACATTAATTAAATAATTAATTTTTTTTTTATCTCAAGTATTGTCCCGCTGCAAAAACAGTTCCCAGACTGCTTTCTTAAACTAGTTTTATGTCCTGAATACTTATTGTATTCAGCTTATTGCACCAATTTCCGAAAAAGTAACACGTTTTCTTCTTAAACGAATTTCTGTTAATGAGAAACGAATTTAAAAAAGTTAGATGCGTATCGCAATTTGGTGTTTTCCTATATAATCGTGTGGCTAGTACTTGCATAGCGTAAACTTAAAGTCAGAAGGGGACTTCCGGAAAAGGCAGGATAAGTGGAAAAGAGAAAGAAAGAGAGTGATAGATAGAAAGAAGGAGAGAAAGAGAGGGAATGTTAGAAGAGGGGGATAGCCAAGTTGTGCAGGAAGTGTGTTAAAATGACCGCAGACGCTGCGGTAGCAAGAAATGTACATTAGTTTATGCAGTATATAGATAAGGTACATACGTACTGCTGCAGAACTTTACAGGAGTCTAATCAAGTGCTTTGATAAATGCAATTCCATTTGAACGTTGTATAGCCTATTCTGTATGCATAAATGCACCATCCTCTTTCCTTGTTCGTAGGTTGGCTAACATTTAAACTTGAAATTGATCGTAAGATTTGAAACATTCGATGAGAACAGTGGTTTGTTGGCACATAGTATGTAATAAGCAGATGTTCTTGATCTGTTGAATATACCTATTTACTGGCATATGTAAAGGATTAGGTGAAATAATTTTTTGTGTTCTTTAACCCATTATTCAAAAACTTTTATCTGAATTGAGTGCATTTTTTTGCCTAAAAAATTTTTCAACGATCCATATTCACAATAAAATACTAAATAAAGATGTAGCTGGGGATGGGAGCTTTTTTTGGTTAAAGCCAATCAATTTAAACGAATGTTTTGGTCATGAGACATGTGACTGTAAAGTTTGTTCCAAAAGTGTAGAATAACTCTCCGATCCATTGTACTTTGTCCGTGAATTTTTAGCAAAACAAAACACTGCCATGGTTCTTTAGCCATTATGTTTGGCAGATGTAATTTCGTACAGCTTTTTCAAATCTCCAGAATTCAAAAAAATCTATAAGGAAATTAATTTTTAATAACCAAGAAGATAAAAACTGCCTTGCTGAATAATATAGCACAAAATCATTATTAGAAGTGCTTAAAGAATAGAAAACCATGTAAGTACAAGTCATACTATATTTTTGGAAGATAACTGTAAAAATATAAAATAAATATTGTTGAATAAATAACAATATCTTGGAAATAACACAAAGTAGCCTTAATTTTTAACACTACTTGTACTTAGACTACTTTTTTGCTATACAGTTTTTTTTAATGCATTGCTATAAATTGTTTTTTTAAGTACTTTAAGGAAAATAGATGAATTAATTGTCAAGCCTGTTTATATTATCGGAGGTCTGAGCCATAAAAACAAAAAATTAATCAGACGCTTACGTATACGCACCTAGTATACTTTTTCTATTAAATTTATTTAATAATGCAGCCTACAAAATTCTTAAAATCAGTTTTAGCGCGGTTCCTGAATAAAAACCTACAGGAAATGCATATTTTATCATCGTATTTTGCTGCATTTATCACATAACATGCATCATGTAGATCTAAGGATTATATTATAAAAGTTATTAAGAATACAAATCACAGTCATATTTTAAACTTGCCTTACCTCCTGTATTCATCAACATTATAGCCGATAATAATAGCACTCTTTGTACCAAGCATCTGTTATCGAGCTCATATTCTATATTGCTATCATTTGTTAGCTTACTTAATTCTCTTTCATATCGGAGTTTTAGTAAGATTTATTTTTAGTGCTCTAACTTACCTTACTTATTTACCTAAAAGAATTTTATGAATTTAAATATCACACGTACATATCTTAATGTAAATATAACGTAACTGACAATGAGTAAATTTCAAGGAGTTCGATGATAGAGGCTCGATACTAAGGCCAAGAAAATCTTTTTCTATTGCATTAATAATGGATATATTCATTGATACTTTTGAGTAGAAAAATTTACACATACAGTAAATGAATTGACAGTTCACTTCAATCACAATGAAATATTTTGGCACACATTTTTTAATTCTGTGAGTATTCTTGAATCATCTAAAAACCGTTGATAATTGGGCCGTCTATCTCCAGTCTTAAAAAAAATTTATCATCATCATCTTCATTGTCTCCATTATCTGCATCTGCATTTTTATTTTTATTTTTATTTTTATCATTATTATTATTATTATTATTATTATTATTTTCTTTTCTTTTCTCATTTTTTCTCTTTTTTCCTGTATGTAAGGTTATCCAAAAAGCCTTTAAGCACGATAGAAAGAGGTACAAAACCCTTTCTTGTATAGGACTTGCAGTCCGTGTAAAGATGTTGTCTTCAACTATGATATTCGTAGCGATACAGACTAAATACCCATGAAACTGGCAAGATCCATTTCCTGGGATGCTCGGCTCAGGGTTCTTTCGTATTAAAATTTTTAACCGAAGCCACAGAGTGTTAACCGTTGATATGGCTTCCCATCTGGTCCTCGTCACTGTCATGATGTTACTTTCTCTTTCCTATGTCAGTCATCTTCTGTTTTTCGAGATGGATCGATTTCCGTTACTTTTTCTTGCTGTTGAGTTGAGTAAGTCAGAGCAGCTTGATTCCACAATAGATGTCTAGCTTCCGTTCTTCGAGACTGTATCTTCGCATTGTAAGCACCTTTTCTCAGCCTTATCTAGAGCTTTCCTCATTGCTGGCTGGGTAGCTTGACTAGTCTTCCTTGTCAAAATTCTGAATTATATGTTCATACCTCAGTTACCTGTAGCATTTGATGACTTCAACACGTTTTCTTCCTTGTCAGGTTAATCCTATCAGGATTCTCCGATTTTTGGAGCGTTTCTTCTTTTTTTTTAAAAAGGAAGGTGAATAAGTGGTATCGCTTCACTTTGCAGACATGTCATCATAGCAATAAATTAAAGATTAAAGTCGTGAGCCCACATAAATTGGGCACAAGTTTAATGGCGTTAAATTTTTTAATAACAATTGTTATATCATGTGAAGTTTCTTGATGTGTTGGAGAATACTAATAATCAAATGATATTCTGTACTTGAAATTTGTATGGTAGATACGTCAATGGTTACATTAGGACATGCAAATAATAGAAAAATTTTGCATGATTTTATCATTTGAATCCACACACATTCTGTGTGTAATATTCATTCGTACGGTTAGCTTCGACGTGATTGTCTTTGCGTATTTTAAATGGTTGAATAAAACTCTTTTAATTTTGAAAGTCAATTTATCTTCTACAAATTAAATGAGCTCACTCATCAAATGTAGACTATATAACATGTCACGATTATAAGTTTGAATTGTTGTCTCCATAAAATTACTCATACCCTACCTCATTATTTATTTGTACTATATGGTACAAACCTAAAGTTGTTATGTGGGGAATATTTTCTGGATCAATTAAACATATATTTGAATGTCAAATATGTCAAAGATTTTTGTCTTGTATGTATAGTAAAATAAGGAAAATGCTTTCGAATGTAATTGACAAGCGTTGTCATGTTAAAAAGTTTTTGTTGATTTGTTTTCTGAAAAGATGTTTAGTTTGTGACGACTACGATGACTAAAAGTCACATTTTGGTTGTTAATAAATTTTTGCCTTATTCAATAGTTCTCTTTAGATGCTACTTTTTTTGTGCAAAGCTGATTTTGTCATCTGCACCACTGTTTATAGAGTTGCCTGGTAAGTGAGTTTTGCTTCTGTGCACGAGGTCACGCTCATGTGTGTAATTCAGCCATTTTAACTCCTCCTTCATTGCTTCGATTATCAATTTACTGCACGGGTCCTGTCTCTAGTGAATCGTAGTCATTCTGATCAATCAAATATCAGCATCTACGTACTTGTATTAGCGGCAATGTACCTGCCCTAAGTAAAAACATACCTATCAGATCAATTCGATTTCTGTACAAAAAAAAGATTGGCAGAAACACTTGAAGAGTGATATCAATTCTCCTACTATTAATAAGCTATAAAGCTTCGATACTGCTTTCGATTAAATCGTATAAACCTATAGTTTGTTGAAAATATGTAAATTTCAATTATTTAAAAAGCTCAAAACTGGCTGATCCTTAGTTTTTTTGGTTAAATAAATGATATATTTTTTATTGCTTGATGCATCTGTTAATGCTGCAATTAAAACCATTCAGTGAAAATAGGTTAAGTTTATCAGCCCATGTTTTTATTTTTCAAACTTAGTTGTCTTTTGTTTGGTTTAGTTGCATCTTTGTCAAGTTATAATATAATTTTAAGAGCTTGGTTACTTTACATGTCACAAGAAACTCAGGTCTGTTTGACCTTGTGCAAAGTGTTGTGTAGCCTGTGTCAAAACCTATGATTAGTAATAAAGATTCTGAGTGCGAGAATTATTATTCTACTACTTATTTAGGCAACTTGATGGCCATTTTTTGTTCGTTTGCCCTTTAAAACTGCTACAGAAAACCTCAGAGCTGCTCGAAAGATCTGGTACCAGGCAACAGTTACCATGCTCAAGCAACTAGAAAAACGATTTAAAAGAGACTGAGTTTAACAGAGCCTGTAATAGATTTGTGTCTGACTACATAGCTTTGGGCATATTAGAGAAAGTTCTGAGTCTCATCTTGCCATGAATTTTTTGCCGCATCATGTTGTTTATAAAACCAACGGTGAGACCTTACAGCTTC